TCTTATTTCTTGGTAAACTTCTGGAGAAAACCAAGCTTTTGACTTGCTCATCTATCATGAAGAAAAGTCTCCAATTTTGGTAATACAGTGGGATAAAGATAGTTATATTAACAATAAACATCATAGCTATGTCAAAGATAGTTATATTAACAATAAATATCATAGATATGTCAAAGATAGTTATATTAACAATACACATCATAGCTATGTCATCAGTATCTTTTTCTGCTAATAATAGGCCTGATATAGGGGGTTGCTTGGAGGACAAACAGTCAAGGGTTCTCTAAGTGTGCATGGCCCAGTTTAGAATGAGGAGGGGAGTCTCAAAAGAGACTCAAAGAGTCGGAGAATTAAACCAGCTCTTCTCCCAGGCACTTCTTCCCTTGTGTTTTTCCATGGGAGCAGATCTGGAAGTCTGGGATCTGTTTATTAATCCACTCTGCCACTGAAGATGCTGCAGCTCCTGTTTTCCTCTGGACCAGCTGCCCTTAGTGGGGGAATGAGGACTTTTGACACTGGTAGGGAATGTTGGACGGTGGCCACCTGTGCAGTAATTTCCTTGCCTTGATCTCAGCTTTAACCTGATGTATAGTATCTCATCAAAAGGTTAATAATGACATCACATCTTAGGGTTAGACTCACCCAAGTTAATACTTGTAAGGGGCTTCTCATAGTTCTTTATATCTAGTGAACACAAAATAAATATTTGCTATTAATTATTCAGTAGTAATAATTCAGGTATAAACATAAACATTATAACCTAATGTTCTGTTCTTAAAAATAAGAAACATTTTGCCTTTAACTTTAAATGTGTATATATTTCTTTTATTATCAGCTCCAAACATCACTGTGAAACATAATGTTCTGTCTTATACCTTAATCCAGATGTTCAGAGGCAGGGGCCTAGTAGACAAACTGAGGGAGCAAAGCTTGGGCCTTCATGGGAGGTAGACTGTTCAGCGATGGACTTGTCATATGAGTTCTCACATTGGACTTCAAACTCTGTGCATGGCCTTGCAGACATGAACCAATCTCCCTTTATTAGAAATCATGTATCTGGAAGCATGAATCCTCTGCACGAGCCTTAACCACTCCCCAGTTTACTTTATTTCAGTGTGTTTATTTGTGTGCGCACACTGTGTGTGTGGGTACATGTATGCCCTTGAACATGTGGAGTCCAGAGGCTGATGTTAGGTGCCCCCCAATCATTTCTTCACCTTATTATTTTTTGAGACTGGATTCTCAATGAACTTGAAGCTCATGGACTGACCAGCAAATGGCAGGTATTCTCCAGTGTCTGCCTTAAGTTCTGGGGTTGCAGGTGTAGGCCCAGCTTTTAGGGTAGGTGATTGGGATCTGAACTCATGTCCCCATGCTTGCCTGGTGACCACTTTATGACTGAGCTGTCCCTGAAGCAACCCTCATTATATAGTAACATTTCATTATAACCACTGTGTGTGTGTGTGTGTGTGTGTGTGTAAATTTGAAGTGTGGAATTGGTCTGGAAGCAGACCAGTTGGTTTTATCGTTTTCCCTAAGGTGTCAATGACCAAGCCATTTAAGAGACACTGCCTTAGATTATCATTTTCCCTCTCTCTTGCCAGCCGAAGGGACAGAAATCGCCTGTACTTTCTGTTTGGCCTTAAGCTTTAGATCTGACACCATAGGTAGCATTTTCCTGACACAGCGGACAATGATCAAGCATTGAGATCCTTCTGGTGAAAACATGAAGGAAATGAAGCTCGACCTTGACTTTGCTTGCTTTTGGTTGACCAGAAGGGTGATTGCTATCATTCCTTATTTCCCCTCTCTGCCAATGGCCCTAACAGGGAGCCAGAGCAAATGGTTTGATTAGATGTGGATTTTTGTGTCTTCAGGTTATCAAAGGGAACTTCTCTATCAGAGGGAAGATGGCTCCTTCAGTGCTTTCGGGGATAGTGACCCTTCTGGGAGTACTTGGTAAGTGACTTTTTCTAATTAAACAAATCTGTATTATGGAACAGGTGTTTACTAGGCCACGGTGACCCTGGAACTGACAGCCTGTCTGTGTGGACGTTGCAACTGCTTGTCACAAAGTCTGCCTTTAAAAGAGGTTTCTAGAAAAAAAAGATTATTAAAGCATTTGTAGGTGCTTTCCATTCAAAAAAGGAAAACAAACAAACAAAAACCCCTACACCCTCTTTTTTCTTTTGTTTTTTGAGATGGGGTTTTCTATGTAATGTTGGAGCTGTCCTGGCACTCTGTAGACCAGGCTGGCCTTGAACACACAGATATTTCTGCCTGCCTCTGCTTCCTAAGTGCTGGGATTAAAGGTGTGAGCCACCACCACCTGGCTTTTTATTTATTTATTTTTTTCTTGAGGGAAAAGCATCGACAAAAATCTTTAGGATGACAGTACAGATGACAAGAAAAAAATTCTGATGTGACATTGGCCTTGCTATATTCAATTTTTAAGTGTGAGAGCCTTGTTAAAACACTGTGCAGTTTTGTTTTTAATATGTTTTTTGAAAAAGAAACAATGATGGGCTTAAGTAAGGACTAGCTTGGGTGTCCTCCTGCATGGAATGCTTGTGGTTGATTTGGGACAGTTCCCCTGATTCCTTGTTCTGTCTGCCATGGCTGACTGCTAGGGCTCAGGAGGTCTCCATCTGCCTCCAGTGAGAAAGACCTGGATGCTACTGAGTATGTTATCATGCTAAGCTGTGATGAGACAGATAGCTTTGGGTTTTCCCTTGTCCGGGAGTCAGGACATCTGTCTGAACACAGGTCTCTTTATGTGTCACGTTACTACACTCTTGTTGGGCACAGTGGCTTGTGCTTGTGATTCCGGCCCTTTGGATGTGTGAGTAGGGGACTGAGGGCAGCATGGGCTACAGTCTGAGAACCGTTTCACCTCTATCCATATGTTTATGTGTGTATGTATATGACTCTTCTCCTTCACATCCCTTGCTTCTACTCTGTTCTTTATACTTCTTTTCTTTCTCTCTTTAAACATCGTTTCCAGGGCTAGGGAGATGACACCCTTAGTACAGTTCCTATCATGTAAGCATGAGAGCTGAGTTTGGATTCTAGAACCCAAGTAAAAAGCTGAGCATGGGTGACATGTGACTCTTACCCCAAGGCTTGGGTGGAAGGGATTGGGGTTTGTGTGGAGACAAGCAGGCCCCTGAAGCTCATTGGTCATCCAGTTTGGCACAATTGGTAAGCTTCATCTTCAGTGAGATACTCTGCCTCAAAAAATAAAGAGGAGCCAATGAGGAAAGACATTCAGTGTTGACTTTGGGCTTCTAACACAGGCACACACATGCACACCTCCCTACTCAAAAAGGTGCCAACACACACACACACACACACACACACACACACACACACACACACACACAAAATCCCTTTCTTCCTGTG